ATTTTCAACGCTTCAAATTTTTTGTCGCACGACTTATTTGCCAACCTAATATATATATATATGTATATATATATATATATATATATATATATATATATATATATATGTATATATATATATATATGCCTTACATACGTACATGCATATATAATACCAAATACCATACCATACCATACCAGATCATACCATAACATGCCATACCTTACCATACCATGCCATGCGTACATATATGTAGGCAGAGTGTACATATATGTAGGCAGAGATGGAAGGTGCCGCGCACGACAAAAATTGTTCCTGGGCTTTTTCCCTAGGATGGAGCTATGGTCGGCAAGGGTAGTGCGTGTGACGTTGCGAAGTCACAGATAGACCTCGACAGGGCGTTGATGGGCTCCAAAACATGCTTAGCCGACGTACACACCCAAGGGTGGCAGTTTACGACGGTTCTCAAGGCTATAAAACTTGTAGTGAAGCGTTGGGATGCCCATGTGGTATACTCTGAGACGATATAAACACAGAAGCTCGTCCAACCCCTTTTCTTACTACTCTTTTTATGCTTATATTTCTTGACATCCGTCAATATTCGCGCTTTCTTCTCCACCTTTTCACTTTTTTGCATCATAACTTCCGATAGTTACTTGAGCTAAGTACCTCCAAATATCATAAACTGTGCCTCCAAATAGGGCTAGATGTATTCGCAGCTAGATCCGTTGAAATCCTTGACAAGGCATCAGTTTTTGATGCTTTTCATGTATTCGTGTATTTGTGCAAAATCAAGGAAAGGCGGAAAGCTCATTATTTTGGTTTATCTCGACCAAGCTTTGAGCTACGAGTTGTATCTTTTGTACGTTAGTGTTGATGATTTTTCAAATACGTATTGTCGAATAACGTATTGTTCTGCAATACTGAGGAGCATACTGAAGTCGATTGGTTCATTTGGTCGCATGGCCGATGTTCGTAATAAATAGTTCAATTCATAATCCTGCTCAGTAAAGTGGATATCACAAAAGAAATGCAAAGAAAAGTGCTACTCTTCATCAAAATGAGTGAATGCCATTTCACGAATATACGGTTTTCTGCATGTTGAGTGCAGTATTCTGTGCTTTTACTCTAATTCAATGAGCAAAAGTGAGGCCTGGACATGAGCAAGCCAGCGTTCTTTCCGTGTATGAGAAACAATTTTGAACCTGGCGGCGTTGCTCGCACAACGGCTCAGTTCGTGTGACCATCTATTTTTGCTCGACTCGAACAGGCTGTTACGAAAACTGCAGTTCTCTATCTGATAATGCACAAATACTTGTCAATCGCACGCTTTTTGTGCTGATATTTCAGATGCGGTGTAACATAAGTGAGGAGGCCAAACAGGCATATGTGCATGCGTTGCATGATGCTAACGATATCCAAAACGCTCATTATTCACAGCATCTTCCCGAAGCTTTAGCACGGATGAGGGTTGGTTTGATTCTTTCATGAGTTTGAGAATAAAGTATGTTTTTAATTTCTATTGCATGTGACTCTCAGTTATCTTATATGTTCTCAACCACATTACTGTGCTGCCTTGGTGATTACCTCGCGTTTTCTGTATCAGCAAGAGTTCACAGTTTATGTCTGTAGCGTAACTGCTGAAAGTAATCTCGAGTTTGTTCAATGGTAGATGACAGTTTTCGTCAAGGAGTTTGTACTCATCATTCTGAGTCCCTGGCTGTTTCGATAAAGATTACACTGTTGGTTGAGAATAATTCGTTAAGAATAAGTCGAGTGAAATGTCTTTACAAAGGCTCTAGAGGCTCTAGTGCGCGACTTGTGCCTGCCCTTGCATTGTATTGTGTCAGCTTTTGTAATAAGTACAAGGAGGCTCATAAGTATGGTTATACTTTTCTCCGCAGATACGTGGGGCTCGTCTTCCGCTTTGCACTCTTTACCACTGGTTTTCTAGATAGAACCGAAATGGAAACTCCTGACGGGAGATTACTTGAAGAACTGATCTTTCAGAAGTACGCTGTTGACTCAGTCTTCGAGTATTTTAAGCTCTCTTTCAAGTAGATTTCCGTAGTGAAATATCTATTTTGTTAGTGGTATGCGGGCGTGTGCGCCCGCCCAAATAAACGTAGACGCGCTGCGTATCCTTTGAGATTATCCCTTTGATGGCCGAGGTATACTGGTATTTGGTCTGGTGACATTTTTGGAATTTCCCTCTCTATCACCCCATGCTTAATGTGTCACTGGACATCAAAATGTGACTGTTCAGGTGGAGCAAGCATTCTTTGCGGCGAGTCAGCTCGATTCTTTGCATTTAGCTGTCCAACATGTTTAACACGCTTTCATCTCAATATCAGATTGGATTGGATGTAGTAAGGCAGCGGCAATAGACTTAACGGTCGTACGTTATGGTCGAGCATACTAGCACTGGACATCCAGTTCTAATCATACACCATTAACACGTTGACGCCGAGCCAATTTTTTCGTGTGTGTTCCGTGGGACGAGACAGTTTCTTTTCTGGAAATCTGTTATTTTTCAGAAAATGAGTGGTTACAGTCAAAAGCATTTGAAAACAAGTGGTACGAGAGAATATTTCGCAAATCATCCAGCAATATTCAGGTTTTGCCCAACATTTGTGGCTACTCGGGGTAATTTCAAATTTGGTGGTGATAGATTTGAATTAGGGGTATACAAATAGGATTTTGAGTAGTATATGACTACGGCGAAGGAGCAGAGAACATATGGGTGAACGATGCTCAAATGTGTGATAGATGGGCCTTTTCGGAGCCCGTTGGAACCGATCCAGAGGTAACTGCGAGGCGTCTCTCCAATTTCATTAGCTGTTTTTCTCTGAAGAACTGCTTGGTATGGTATCTGACCAGACCAACGTCTACGGACAGCAGAAACATCATAATTAGACTCCCCTCGACACAGATGAACTGAGAACATTCTTTGTCCTTTGTTTATATATGTCCCACTGTCCATTTTATAACCAGCGTCATTGCTGATCGCTGAAACCTAGGAACTTAGCTAGAGATGGACATTCGATCGCCGGAGATTTTATGACCAGAGATCAATTCGAAGAAATCCAAAGGCATCTCCAATTTATCGACAACACTGCCGCCGACAGGACGAATAAGCTTCACAAGCTACAGCCTTTTCTCGATTACTTGGATAACCGTTTTCAAGTTCGTATAGACCTGGAAGAGAATTGTGCATCGGCGAGTCGATGGTGCCATTCAGAGGTCGCGTCTCATTCTGGCAGTACAATAGAACAAAGCGTGAACGATTTGGAATCAAACCCTTCAAGCTTTGCTCTCGCGCCGGCTACACTCAGAAGGTCAAGGTTTACGCCGGAAAAGATCCAAAACGGACAATCAGTGTGGCAGAATCTGTAGTAATGAAGTTGATGGATGGTTTTGCTATGCAAGGACGTTGCCTCTGCACTGATAACTGGTACAGCAGTTTGCCGCTTGCTCATAATCTACTCAAGAAGGGGGCTGATATTGTTGGAGCCTTCCGAAAAACTCTTAGAGGCACTCCTCAAAACATCCGAGACAAAAAACTGCAGAGAGAAGAGTTTGTTTGTCAGCAGAACCTGAAAGGAGTACTAATTTCGAGGTGGAAAGACTAGAAAGACATCCACATGATTTCTGCGACACATGACGTCAGCTTTCACCTGAACGGCAACCATACGGTTGTTGTCGATTACAACATGATGAAGGGATTCGTTGACCTCAGCGACCAGATAGCTGCCTATACTCCGTGTGTGAGAAAGACAACGAAATGGTATTTTCAACTGTCTTTTCATCTCGTAACCCAGACTGCCTTAGTCAATGCTTGGTTTTTATATTGCGAGAAGATCAAGAAAACAAAGTTAAACTACTCCAAAGAGTTTATTCTGGACGACTTGTTGTACAAAAACTTCAACGACACGCCGACAAGCAGTTCGAGAACACGCAAGCGGAAGCTAGTGGCTGATCCAAATGCAAAAGCTAAAGACAGACAGTTTCGCTCCAACTGGTATAGTTCGATCTCTGCAACATCAGGCAAGTCGACCGCGAGGAGCTTAGACAAGGGGACTAAGGCAAAATGCAGTAAATGTAATAAATTTCGTTGCCTAGATTGTTTTCAAAAAACTCGTGATTGTTAGTCTGCACAAAAAACGGAACGGGCACACACATTTTGGTTGAAAAAATGCACCGTCGCCACCGTTGCACAGCATTGCGCCACATCGTCCCATGAGACAGACTGGCTGTCTCGCACCATTGCGCGATACTGTTGCTAGCGGCTGTATCTTTGCGACCCCTCCGTTTTGCAAAAATGTATTCCAAGCCACTTGAATATGGGTGTGGGTGATTCTCGCGTTGAGATGATGAGATAGTCCCGCGTGAAGGGCGGGGCGTGCGGCAGCGCAGTGCCGTGGACGAGCACGCAGCGCTGTAATATCGTGCTTACGTATGTAGGTTGCCCTTTATATTTCGGGATTAGAGAACAAAATAAATATTAATCGTTAAAATTGCTTTATTGTTTTCAAAATATTATACCTATAAAGATCTATACATTTACAAGCTTTTGAATCAATTGTCGGAGCACTTTTGCCACTCTGATTGAGGTAACTCTAAAATAAGCACTCTGAACGCATCAAGCGCTTTTTCAGGTGTCAAAAAATGTTGACCTCTCATTTTATTTTTTTCACACGGGAATGAAAGGAGTCATTTTGTGCCAGGCTAGGAATATATGGCGGATTACTCATCAAATCGATGTTTTGGCCACATCGGACACATTCGGACATACATACATACATACATACATACATACATACATACATACATACATATATATATACATATATATACATATATATACATACATACATATATATACATACATACATACATATATATACATATATATACATATATATACATACATACATATATATATACATATATACATACATACATATATATACATATATACATACATATACATATATATACATATATATACATACATATATACGTACATACATACATATATATACATATATATATACATATATATACATACATACATATATACATACATACATATATATACATATATATACATATATATACATACATACATATATATACATATATATACATACATACATACATACATATATATATACATATATATGCATATATATACATATATACATACATACATATATATACATATGTATACATATATATACATACATATACATATATATACATATATTTACATATATATACATATATATACCCAAACCATCACACCGCCTCCCCTGAACTTCAGTCTTGCAGAAAATTCTCCTTCTCGGGGTCTTTCTCATTTTTTAATGAACGATGGACTTGGAATTTGATACCACCCGATAAATTGTGTCCATTGAGACATCGAGTCTGATAGAAGATTTTATTTTTCGCATGATTCTGAGTTCAATGCTTTTCGTAAAGTCCGCCATTCGTTAATCAATAATTGAAAATAGTGAACTTCCCGTATGTTTTTTGGCTTCATAAGCAGTAGGCTTCAAGAAACTGTTTCTTTAATCGTGGCAGCGGCCAAAAACCTGTGAGATTCGTCAATTAGACAATCCTTGCCTAATCTTCTGAAAGTTTTACCTTTCTCGAACTCGTCCGCAGTTTTCCTTAAGCCATGGCCCGGAAAAGAAAAGCATTCGTCTTGTCTACTTAAAGGTTGGCGTCCAGTGCAAACTTCGATTAAGACTTGTCACAATCTGACCGAAAATTCATAACTCTTGTTTCCGTGCACCTAGCGTTCGAATATGTTGGAATCATAGACAGCAGTGTGGAACCACCGATGATAGGTGGCGGGGCGAGAGCGAAAATTGCTAATTTAGGCCTGGAGCGTTCGACTGCGCTAGTACAGGCAACAGTGTGGGAAGACTGATCATAGGTGGCGGACTAGGCTCCGCTCAAAGGGAGCGATGTGCGTAGAAATTGTGGCGCACACGAAGTGTGTCGGCGTGCTTGTGCGTATTTGGATGGACACCAATAACTAATGTTCTTCTTTACCTGAGCGTCCAAATGTGAAAGAAGTGCAGGCGGACTTTCAACTTTAATACGGAAAGGAAGTGGGCCGAGTCAGTAAGTGAAGTGTATACAGCTGATTAAGCTTAGTGAGCGAGTGAAGCGCATACATATGTATGTGAACATGTGTGCATATATGTAAGAGTATATGTGTGCGCATGTGCGTAATTGTGTAAGTATGCATATGTGTGTTGTGCATATCTATGGCTACGTATTTATGTGTATGAGCATACGTATGTGCATGTGTATACGTATGGGTACCAATATGTGTACGTGTGTATGTATGGACGTGCATGTGTCCATGTACAGTGCACATACACTGCTGGTCGAGCATCGCCAAGTATGGACGCCGGCAGATAACTTATTTCCTTCACATATGTTCCTTATCGTGAACTTCATACATTTAACATTAAATTCAAGTCAGGGCTACTAGCCGGCCAGGGCAAACAGCATCAGACCAGGCCTGGGTACCCGATCGTACCTGATGTGAATCAGGGCATTATCCTGCATGAATTCCAGGTATTGCTACCGATTCTGACCCCCAAAAGGAAGGAGAGCACGGCGCATTACGACTCGAATTGAGCTTCTTCGGAGCGAAACATAACGAAGGCGTTTGCGAGAAGAAATTGCTGTCCATACCAAGACTGCTCCTCCCATCTGAAAAATCCTTTCTCATATCGTGCCAGTAGTACCGCTCGCCATCTGGGCCATCGCGGTTAAATTTCTTTCATCGGAGAAAAAGACCTGGAGGGCAAAACATCGGAAGGAGGAAGAGTAAACGACAAGATACGAAAGTCACCTTACTCTAATCGGTTTGGATGCGATTCCTGGCAAGATCGACCCGATTACCGCGATGCTTTTCAATCATATAAGGCGCCTTCCTTATTTCCCGCTAACGATAGGCTCAAACATTTATCACATTCCAAATATCCAAACAGTAAACTTTCCATTAGGACAAATCTAGGTGGCTGTATCATTATTTAACCAAATGTATGAAGTGCTAACTTCGTGTGTTTTATGTCGGTTTGTGTGTCAGTCCGCGTAAAGTCGCGTAGGCACGATGAAGAGAGTGATATGTCATGTGTGCGCTGTGGCTGCTTTCATAGTCCGACGGCCGGCCCGTCTACACGCGCCGGCCAAGGACGACGTTTGCCTCTTGGTTACAAATGAAATTTGATCGATACCGCAGGTCGAGTAGTCCCCCGGCCGGCGCGCGCTTGCCGCTGGCCGGCGGACTATGAAAGCAGCGGATGAGGAGGCAGTCACGAATTAGAAAGTCTTCAGACACTATTCATATTGATCTCCTGACAAATGCGGATCATTTTGTTACGTCATTGTCTGGGAGCATAGCTTCCTCCTTTTTGTCGACGGTTGAAAATTATTCAGTTTTGTTCAATCTTAGGGTGATCATGCGTTGTTCATTTATTTATTAACCCTACCTTAGGAGGAGAAAGAATGTAGAGTAGGGAATTTTCTACATTAGTATCTGTTGGAAAGAAACCCGAAATCTCCAAATATTCTGTTACAAATCTGATGCGCAGTTTCCTACAGTTGGATTCGAGAGATACATTGCGTCTCCAAATGGTACAGCCTCCTCTGATTTTCCTAAAAACTCACTGTACACTATGTTTCTTATCTTATCTTATCTTCTTCGGTACAAAACATAAAATCATGCTCCTACTCGACGAATCACGGCTCAAAGAATGACTCCTCCCTTAAATTTCTGTCGAGAAAATTGAAGTTTCTCTATCCTCAGGTCGTGCCATTAAAATCGGTTCCCGTCTGGATCATCACAATTGAACTTTTCTCCATCGGAAAAAACGACCTGAAAAACGAAAACCATCAAGAGAAGGAAAGTCAAATGTCAGCACATGAAGAACACCTTCTTCCACACGGTTCGGCTGCACCTTCTGGAAGAAGCGACCCGGTTTTCCCAATGTCTTTTTGTCGTGAAATGCGCCTTACGCATTTTCCGCTAGAAAAAGAACTTGGACTTTCTGATCACCTTCCAAACAGTGGTTTTGAGAAGGAAACGACCGGATTTCCATGCAGAGTCGGTGGAGTTCGACGCTTCCCTCAAAGTACAGCGCTTGTCTCTGTCGGACAGCAGCGAAAGACGTCCAGCACTTCTGGTTTATCTACTTCTTCAGGACTTTAACTGCGTGACATCGACCAAAATCTCGCGCGATTCTGCGATTTGACAATCCTTGCTCCTTTTTCGCGAGGACTTGACCCTATTCGAATTCCGAAAGCAAATTTCTCTGCATTGTTTTCGTTGCGTTGAACTAAAGTGGGCTCGAAGACATGAAGTGGCTGTATCATTTGGAAAAGCCACATTTACTGAAAAATTGACCCGAAAAAATGTTTGTGTTTCCGATTGGTGGTAATGTGCGAATTGCAATTCAGATTTGACGCGTTTTTTGCTTTGGCACTTTTTCAGAAAACATCGTATACTGCTAGATTTTGGGGAAGTAAGGGGTGGCTGTATCATTTGGAGACGCACTGTATTTTGAATATAGTCGAGTCGAGAGACATGGAAGCGTAAGAGGGCCGCATGTCACTCACTCTGTCGCTTCGAAAATGTCAGAAAGCCCCCCCCCCTCTTATATACATCACAGAGGCAGTGAAAGAGCTGTTGCGCTATGGACACGAGCTGTCTCGCTTGAATGTATGTGGCGTAACTTTTTTACTTTTTTTCCAAGAAAAAAATACTATTTAAAAAATACTATTACTCGACTATTTCCAACCAAGATCCTTTTTTTGCATGTCTTTATTGCTTCACCACGGTAAATTATACTTTCTTAAACTCAATATACTCAATGGTGACAAAGAACTTCACAATCTTGTACTTTATACAGGCAATCGATCTCGAACGAATCAAGGATACGAAAATGGCTATGCAGCTTTGTCTTGCATCTGAGGTTGATGTCCAGTCAATTATTGGTAAGTAGTCGCTGTGCGTTTTTTCAAATCACATTTCTATTGATTGCACACAGATGTACTTTTTGAAGGCACCTTTTTGTGTGAAAGAAAATCCAAAAGGGTGAAATGTACAAGAGTGAAAGTTTTCCATTACTGGTTACGGTAGCTCACCTATTACTGGATGTTGCTCCTCAGACCCTGCTAAAGAGAAGTCTAAGTGGAAAAACTGATGGATCAATGCAAGTTTATTTTTGTAAGTTAAAAAAAAACAAAAGAAACAAGTGAACAAAAGAGTCACCTTTTGGAGCTGAGGACATAGCATTGAAAGGAAATAAGTCTAGCTCATTGGAAAGCGGATGTAACAAAAGTACCGAGATCAAACACGACTCGCAGGCTGAAGTACACGGGGCCGACTTCACTATTGAGCCTTGACCTTGGAATGTTTGCAACCTATGACGAATGACATAACTGATTGAGTTCTCGCTTTACTGGCGGAAAGGTGCAGGTTTGCTCATAGTCATCACATTTGACGTGGTATGCTTGTTTTTGTTTGATGTTTATCACATTTCCTATCTCCCATTTTAATGAAAAAAAAACAAGGAGAACGAAGCATCCAATACACATATTTGTAAAAAAAGCCTTAGATGTGAGCCTTTTTAGGCAGCATTGATCTTTCTTTACAATTAACCTATGTTTCTCACAAAACAGCTGCAGAGGTCAAGGTGATGCTGTTCAGCTCTTGTTACGCAAGTGATTCATTAATGAAAGTTGTAGTTCGAAATACTTCGACTGGCATTCCTTTCAATACCCCAGTTATTCGAAATTTGAGTCTTTCTTCTTCAGCCCTAGATGTTTCCAACGGCTCGCTTGAACGACTGCGATCAGTGTGGACTTTGGCTATGGTTTCGACGTAATTATACCGGTCGTATTGTGCTCTATTTCTTTCAAACTTTTCGAAACGCTCGTGGTATTAGGCAGGATAGTGTAAGAGCGACATGAGTAAAGGCAAGGCGCGTTTACTAATTCGGGTCGGAACTTGGCTCTCCATCAAAACTTGGCTCTTCAGTCGGTGGTTATAGAGAAACCTATAACATTTTTAAAAGCTTCTAAAAGAATTTTCCTTCAATCAGGTAAATGTCGAACATAAAAACTGATCAAAAAATAATTCCGCAAACGAAAGAGTGAAACACCGAGTCAGGACCGAGCAAAATCCCACGAGAAGCGGCAAATGCGCTAGGCTCGCATGAAACGTTAAGATTGACGAAAATATAAAAAAGTAACATATGCGGTGTGGTGCGGGTCACCTTTGTATACGCACTTCACTTGGAAACGTAATGTTGTTAACTACAGATCCAACATTTGATGTGGTCTACTTCTAAGCCGCGAAAGATGCTATAAAACGAATATGATCTGAGCAGTTGCGACGTTGCGGATTTAAATGACTCAGGGAGACTACGTATAATAGTTGAGGCTATATCATGAACCGAAAGGTGCGCAATTTGTGTATAACATATTTGATTCGCTCGAACGTTCGATTTGTTTCATGAATGTTGTTGAGTGATGTGAGCTTTGAGTATTCACCTAAATTAAGGCATTTTTCCGAAAATTCGAATTTTATCACTTGCCCTTACATAACATGTGAAAACATCAAACACAAACAAACAACTGATGGAACTCAAAAGGATATATACTATATATGTATATACATATATTATATAAACATATACATATATACATATACGTAGGTTGCCTTTTATATTTTGGGATTTGAGAACAGGAACAAATACTATTTATTGAAAATCGCTTGACTGCCTTTCAAAAATCTCCACATTAAGATCTATACACTTTTGCATGGGCTCGAACCAATTTTCGAAGTACTTTTGCCACTTTTGATTAAGGTAACTCTAAAACATGGATTTTGAACGCATCAATGGCTTCTTCAGGTGTCGAAAAACGTTGGCCTCTCATTTTATTTTTACGTACGTGATGAGAAGAAGTCATCCGGGGACCACATGGCTGATGACCTGTCAAATCGTTGCTTTGAGTGCTCAAAAATGCAGTTGTTTGAGCCGATGTGTGGGAGCTCGCGTTGTCGTGGTGAAGAGTGATCCTTCTTCAGCAGTTGGTTTTCCTGTTTTTTTGGAAGGCACCTGGCAAACAAATGGTTGTATTCCATTCAGAATTGACAGTTCTGCGGTTGTGGTAGTAGTGGTACGGTTGCGCAATGTCCAGTTTTTCGAAAAAATCGGGAGACCAGTTGCTTGGAAGTGCTTGGTGCGCGGACATCTTTAGTTGGATTTCGCTCATCTTGGCTCTTTCCTTTCGGGCACATACGCATAAATTCATAATCCATCACCTGTCTCGATGTCATAGACGTGTTCCGAAGCATCGCGATCGTATTTTTTGAGCATTTCTCTCGACCAATCGATACGAGTCCCTTTTTTGGGAGATTGACAAATTTTTCAAAAACAGTTTTTTTACAGTCAAATGTTTATGCAAAATTGAATGTAAGCTAGTCTCACTAATGCCTAAGGTTGCTTCAATCTCACGATAGGTCACATGACGATCTTGAAGTATTAGTTTGTACACAGTATCAACGGTTTCCGGAACGACAACTGATTTTGGACGACCTCCACGAAATTCGTCTTCGAGTGAACTACGACCTCGGGTGAACTCACTGTACCATCGATAAACACTGCCCCTGGATGGAGCTTCATCACCAAAAATTGAACTAAGTTCATCGATGCATTGCTGTTGAGTAAGCCCACGTTGAGAGTTGTGGAAAATAATCGCGCGAAAATGCTCACGATTTAACCCCATAACTTGGCCTAAACAAAAACTTATAATTTAGTGTAATCAACACAAATCGCGCTCAAATTTCGCAACAGAACCTAAAAATAGTCTAACTTAACGATAGTAGTGTCAGTTGTCAGATTGCTACACTAGTGTTTCCAAATCCCGAAATATAAAAGGCAACCCTCGTATAAGCATATATATGTTATATATATATATGTATATAATATATATGCAGTAGCGCTCAAAAGTATTCGGCCCAATGCTTCTTCACTTGTACTTTTCAGTCATAACTCCTTTCCTACCGGATCTAATCAAGCGAAATTTCGATATGTGTAGCATTGGCGTAGTGTGAATATTTACCACTATTAACCTGCATTTTGATCATGTTCCTAATATCCCAAAGAGCTTGAAATTAAAACCAACTGAAAATAGGAACAACGGTGCTTCTAGGATTACTTTCCTTTTTGCCATGTCCAAAGTGTACGAGCGCCAATGCGAGACATAGAAGAAGAGAAAAACGCAAATAAGATGTGAATAACTGCAGACGTCACAAACTTGCTTTCAGTATAGTCTACAAACACCTTCCCCTTAGTTATGTGAATACTGCTGCTTTGCAGTCTATAGTGTTGGATAGTGTGAAATATGCTTCAGTTAAACATTTAAAAATTTCATGCGATTTGCTTCACTGGGAAAAAAGTATCGAGAGGAACGTAACCCTCGCTATCTAGCCTACTTTGTTCTGAAGAAATTCAGAATTAAGCCTCTCCTGCGACAAGTCCTACGGAGAGCGCTCCGAAAACGAAGCGTTCCAGAACACATATTTCTCTGGTCAAGGGAATGTGAAATGGCTTTACGACAACAATACGCACGCCACACGGCTGAACCGGAACAATAGATGCCTTTGTTGGGGTACACTAGGAATCAACTCTGAGCCCGTTCCTCTTCCTGCTTACAATGGACGTCATCACGAAAGAGCTCATGGATGGACCACTGACAATTATCCTCTATGCTGATGGCATCGCTCTCATAGCGGAGAGCGAACAAGAACTCCAAGACATGCTGTAGAAATGGCAGAAAGTGTTGACGGAGAACGGGCTACGGCTGAACGTGAAGAAGACGAAATTCCTCAACTCCGGAGAATGCACGGAGTCAACCGTCTATACTGTCGGGGAAGCCGTCGAAAGCGGTTTAGGACTTCCGGTAACTAAGAAGCGATCTAACCGCTGATGATAGCGTGGGCCAGGCCGAAAAATCTCGACTAAACGCAGCATTGATGAAGTGAAGGGAGTTCACCGGTATCCTCTGCAAACGTCGGTGCTCCACGACGCTCAAGGGAAAGGTGTATCGGACAGTGGTAAGACCAACAATGCTCTACGGCAGCGAGTGTTGGCCGGTCAGTGAGACCTATGAAAGGCAGCTCCATCTGCTGACCCCTAGGAGCCCCAAAGAAGAGATGGCGCGAGGTGATCAACAAGGATCTCGCCGAAGCTAAGGCGATGGCAGAAGATGCCGTAGATAGAACGAAATGAAGACGAACGACGCGAATAGCGGACCCCGCGGCGGAGCGGGATTAACGCTAGGGATAGCAAGAAGAAGGAAATGATGTCAGGAAGCATTCATCAGTTATTTGATCAGCAGTTGCCGGATAAAGTCCTTAAATTAACAGTCTGAGCAGCATTCTAGCTTAGAAGTCAGGACAGAAATTTGTCAAAAAACTTAACCGGTAGAATAGGTCTTTCTGATCTCATAAAGAACAGAAAGCAGCCAAGGTTTTTGCCATCTTCCATCAAGTTTTATGTTGAGGCATAATTCTTGCGGACTTCTTTTCTATCGACATAATTTGAATATTGAATTCGGGATTCATTAGGAATAATCTTCCTCAATAGAAAGTCGTTTTAAAATTCGCCACATTATGCTCTACAACGAAAAGGTTGGAAGGTGGCAGAGTCATTTCGCGATCTCAACTTATCAGCCGAAGCCAATTAAGGAATGAGATTTGCTCTTGAACCCGCCATATTCACTCAAAGAAAGTCCTATGAATTATCACGTCAACCGTTCGTTGAAAGATTGGCTACGAACAGAACTTACTGCGAAATGGATGGCTCGATGGCCGATGTTAAAGCGTGGATCGCCTCCAAAAATCGAAACTTCTTCGCCTGTGGAGTCCGACAGCATAGCAAGTTGTCGTAGGCGGTGGATACGTTCCGGAGTAATTACGTGTACATATCTTGTTGTTCATTCAAAATTCATTGTTAATGTTTGTTGAAAATGAAACCGCAATAATTATGCATCAACTTGATATTTAAGGGTAAGGCAAGTCCCTCATGGGTTCAGAAACGGATAGGATTTTATCTCATATTGGATGATCACTGCGACCTTGTATTCTTCTCTTGTATAAGCCAGTTAGAAAGCCCTACATGTTGTATTTTTATTGTTTTTTTGTTTTTATGTCATTGTTGTGTTATTTCATGTTTCCTTGGAGTTTGGCGGTTCTTTCGAACCTGGCGCATTTGTCGCTCCTCGTGAGCTTTTGCTCTATCTTAAGTTCGTGTTTTACTGGTCGGTCCTTTTGTGAATGTGTTTTTGAAGCAATTATTATTTTTTGACACTTACCTGATTGGAGGGAATTTCTTTTAGACGTTTCTGTGATCTCTCCATAATCACCGACTGAAGAGGCCAGCTTCGCTTCAATCCCAACTAGTAGACACGCGTGGCTTTTACTCATGTCGCTCCTGCCTAGTGCTACCAGCGTTAAGAACATTTGAACATTACATCCAGTAGACTTAGGTTAAACCTTCAGTATATTGTGTGGGTCTGTAGAAGTCCACTTTCCTTATCGCGAGCCGTTTCAAAACATCTAAGGATCGAAAAAGGTTAAGGATGAGGTTTCAGCAATCAGATGCCATCAGGAATATTTCGAACTAAAACATTCATCCCGCATTGAACCAGGTGCGTTGCAGCATCACGCTCACTTCCGTAGTCATTTTTTGTAAAAAACGGGGTTATAGTTTTCAATTGCCACCGGTGTCAGAGGCAAGGGTCAGGACACTCGGGAATAGCTTAAATACGCAATGCAAAAAAGGAGAGTCAACGGTCTTCTTTTGACATCTAGGGTGGG